CCACGTTATTAACCTCTAAAAAAGCCTTGGTGAACTTGGCGGCGTGTATGGAAGCATTGTCTTGTTGGAAAATTGGGGTATTATTACCCATTTTCACACGAAGTTCTTGTAGAAAAGGAAACAGACCTTGGCTCAACGTCTGAGTGTATTTGACAGCATTTTGCTTCCCTTTCAGGAATACCAGGCTGGTTTTACCGTACCAGTTAACCCCAGCCCATATCATGACGCTCCCTCCTCCATTCACCCGCTTTGACATGGTCTTGGGCTCAGCTCGCATGTCATGCCAGTAGTAACGGAACCCATCCGGACCGTCCAAATTGAATTTTTTTTCATCCGTGAAGACCACGCGACGCCAGAACTTCTTGTCGTCCCCATATTGCTCAGCAAAAGCTACTCTCTTCTTCTTGTGGTGAGGCTTGAGAGCTGGGGTAGGTTTCCGCTTCGCGTACGTGATGTTCCGACTGCTACGCAGCGTGCGAAGAACAGTAGTCTTGCTGGGAGTCGACGGCAGCTGGATTCGTAGCTGCGAAGCCGATAATCCGTGAACAATTGCCAACCTAAACACCCTCCTGACCTCCCGATCCGTCATTTTAGGCTTTCGTCCAGTCCTTTTAGTTGTTGAGGAAGCCTTTCCACGTTTGATATAGTTGCGAATTGCCTTCTCGTCACGGCAGATGAGCTTCGCAATCGCTCGGTTGCTCTTGCGCTCACGGATGAGCAGGTCAATCCTGCGGCACTCCTCCTCGGTTAACTGCTTGCCTCGTGGCATCTTGGGGAACCAAGAAAGCTTGTAAATAAGGTATCGAAAAGTGTTACCTACGGGCTTTCTGGATATTTCATTTATTTCAACTAAATCTGTATAGTTTTTGTTTATTACCAATATGACCGAATAAATTTCATGTGCGGCTATAATTATGCCCCTACCCAAAGTGACATTTTTGCCGATAGTGATAAAACGAAGTTAGCTTTTTCAGTTCTGTTTGCTGTATTCGTTTTCTGAGAGTGTTAGACGATTTCAAACCGCTGCTTTAGGCGCAGTTAACCAACGTACAAGACAAGAACACCGAAAATCGAGTGCGGCTATAATTCCGGTGCGCACTGTATGCAATGTGCTCTCTGCATGCGCTAAAACCTATCATAAGGAATGTAACCATCTGTACCCCACGAATCCAGCTGCCGGACGGTAATACCGTCCGATAGTAAAGCTAACGACTTTCGGTAACTGAGCCGATTCTGGACACTACCATAGCGAATGCGATTTTTTGGCAGCTCCGTGTGGACCCCACAACAATCCTTCCTAAAAGAATGATAGATTTCCTTTATTATTTCAACCAATCAGATGCGAGAAACGTCACGTCGTGTCATCGAGGAGGACACTGGAGGACACCATTGACGGACAGATAATTACGCACGCTCACAACGCGGCGTCAGGTTGTTGCACTTGCAAGAAGCTCTGTGCAGCCTGCTGGAACACGGCAAATGAACACAGCGCCGAGTGCTCGTGACTCGCGAAGGTCACTGCACCGCCTTCGAACAGAACCTTGAGGTAGAACTCGCCCGTGACGAGGTGCCGAAACACTTCGAAGATCAGCATGGCGCCGTAATGAGGAATCACGCGCGGAACCTGCAGCTGCAGCGCGTTCACTAGCGCCACGAGCGAGTTGTCATGGGCCGAGAAGAGCGACATTTTGTGCTCGGTAGCACCCTGCAGCAACAAAGACACCGTGAACAAAGCACTAAAAGAACGCATTCAAACCGGAAGACAACAGACCTGGGTGACGCTGGCCAGGTACGAGTAGATGCGCTGCACGCCGGCCTTGAAGCTGACGCGACAGAAATCCACCCTGCCATATAGGTGGTGCCACAACCAGGCGTCGTATTCGCAGATCTGAGTAAAGAGCTGCTCGTTCAGGCCGTCCGGGAATGCCAAACCGTGTGCTTGGTGGCAGACCAACACCTCGCGCACTTCAGACAGGCAAAGTTGCAAGAAACAGTCAGTGATTACCAATACACGAAGAGGGCCTTGAGTTGCCACACTCACGTCCTGTCCAGGCGACCAGCTTGCTCGACTTTGCTCCAATAATCGTGCTGATTCTCTGCGACGCCTTGGTAAACCCTGGCGGAGCGTGTTGTCTTAGCTCGTCCGCCAGGACCTTCCCCAGATCTTGGTACAACTCGTACGAGTGCTGCGGCGCCAGACTATTCGAGTCGTCGGCGTGGATCACAAAACCCCCGTCCTTCTTCATCTTCCTGTTCGTCTGCATATTCTGCAAAAACTTTCTACTATCCGGCAGTAAATTCTCACTAGCTGCCAGATTGTTATCTGCGTTGACGTTCATAAAGTACTCTGGAAAGAGTCCCGCCAGAAGACTCTGCGCCGAGCGGATGGTCCTCCGGATATTGGTGGACTGCACGTGGATCTGTCGAACCGGATCCACCATGCCCTCCATCAATGTTTTATACCTCTCTCTTAGTTGCTGGCCCTTGACTCGCATCATGTCGATCCCTTTGGCTGTCAACTGTCCACAAGGCCAACGTCCTCCTTGCTGAGGCGGCGGTGGCACCTCAAATTGCTTGCCGAAGCAGCTCTCTTCGCTACATTCGCCTTCGTGATAACTCACCACTCTCGTCCCGCTATTGAGTGCCCCAACGACGCTCAGCTCAGCCAAACGTGAGACCCAGAAATCCGTTTCCGGCTGCGTCATCTTCACTTTGGCGCTGATGTTGCGGCTGATCGGGGATCGATCTCCATGGCGGAACATCACCAGCACATGCTCCAGCTCCAGGTCCTTCTCATCAACGCATTCGTAGCTCCCTGCATGGCCTGTGGAGCTTGCGCAAAGACCCGGACGTGGGGCCATATTGGTGGCTTGGATAATGATGCGCAAGCTGAAAACCAGTTCAACATCGTCGGATCAGTGATTGGCCCATAAAATTTATTTTTCTTAACCAGTTTTTATAACTAATATCAGTTCTTTATGAGACAAAAAGAAATTATTTTATCAATATACACTTTCTGCGCCGTTGGATAAAATAAAGTATTGCAATTATGCAGAAATATTTATACTAAAATTACAGCGATAAACGGAGTAATATTTGAGATAATCTACTATAAAAAGTATTTGTAGTAGATTATCTAGTTATAGCGTATTATTACCCAATTTTAAATTTATGTTTTTGAGTTTGTGTCAATAATAAATATTGTCTTCACTATTGTACGTATTATTGCTTCAAAAGTTTTTTTTTTCGATCCCTGCATAGCATAGTGTCAGAGGAAGACGTTTGACTCAAAAAGTTCCTTAATCTTAGCCCCTTAGTCAAGGACATTACTTAACCCACTAAATTAGGTTGAAGATTTACTTAACTCCAAACAAATCATTGGTTGTTCAAAATTCAAACTGTTTATTAGCTTTTATTTGCGGCCAAGCCGCCTAGAGGTAAACGTATGTGTTTAACTATATAACATAGTTAAACCTAGTCCAATGCATGACGTATGGCTTCCAAACCCACGTACTGAGAGTCTATTAACTCTCCGGCTACTTCGTGCCCCTTGTATGTCTAACACTGCGTGACCCCGTTACAAGGACCGACGAAACAAAATAAAGCCCAAAATCCAGAGAACCAAAATCTCAGCTGAGACCACGAAACACGTCCCCCATCAAATATGACTGCGAGATTTAGCGCGGTCATAACAACCCCGGCAGCCATCCTGCACCAGCTCCATATCTGGTCTTGACGTCTTTTTGAGCTTACAATCGTTTCTCTTTTAAGTAAACCGTAGTGTCATACTTAATCTGTCCTGGCTTGGCAGAGACCCTCAGCATACACTGCAGCTAGGTCAAATGCAACATCATCCCTAAGGAAAAAATAGTTTAGGGGCCGCCGACAGGTCGATCATTTCACAGGCCCATAAGCTCGGAACGGCAAGCGCAAAATCAAAAGGCTTTGCAGGTCATATAGGATTGGCGGCTGCCAAATCAGGACCCTGATGAGTATCAGAAACAAAATTTAAAATCGTGAAATTTTCAGAATCAGACCAGATCTGATTCGCCAGAAATTACTATTCATTCGATAAATGTCAACGATTACTACTATTACACTAAAAAGAAGTGAGCTGTCTAAATTGATACATTTTTTCTCTCATACATTATTGCATTGACAACGATCGATATGCTGAGCTCAGCTTGTGTAGACGTCATGCGGCGAGTGCTTCGACGCAGTATGTCGAGCTCTGTAGCCCCGCGTACGTTGCCAGCAGTTTCACCTGACGTCAGACTAGTGCTGGAGAACAGTATAGCCCGTAGAGAGTCTTCGCGCGCTCTCGCGGCCTTCGACAAGTTGCAACAGGAGTCGTCACTCCAGGACCCTCAGCTGTTACAGCGTCTGGCGCTGCTTGTAGCCAAGCGTGGGCAGCCACACGAGGCTCCACGAGCCGCTCAGATCCTTCGGCTCCTTCTCTCCCAGCCAAGCTTTAAAGCGGACGACGCGACGCAACTGGCAGCCATCTACACGATCGACTCGTGTCTGCGCGTGAGGCGACTGGAGGACGCGCTGTTGTTGTTTCAGGCAGCTAAGGAGAAGGACATTCTGGTGGACCTTCCAGCAGTGAACGCGCTGCTGAAGACGTTGGTGGACGCTCACAGAGTGGACGAAGCTGTGACGATCCTCAAGAACATCACAGCGCAGCATGACGTGAACCCCACAGAGCAAACGTTCCAGCCTGTGCTGGTGGCTGTGATGCAGCAGAAACGATACGAGGATGTAGTGGCACTTATTGAGCATGGGAGAAGGCACGAAGTGGACTTTTCTCCCGAGGTAAGAGACAATTGGAGGACATTTAGGTGGACAACAGGAAACTCATCTGTGAACTGTGGGTAGACGTACGACCCGCTGGTGGATCTGTCGCTGGAGCAATACACGAACGAGGACGTAGAACGACTAGGCAAGTTCATGGAGTATATTAACAACGCTCTGGAAACAGACGGGGTAAGTTATACTGAAGCCTAGAGGGAGACGAAGAGAGTACTGACGAATGTGTGGACAGTATTGGAACTACGATGACGATGACGACGATGAAGACGCAAGTGACTTTGACGACGATGAATTCGACGACGACTTTGACGATGAGTTCGACTAGCTAATATGACGGAAGACTGTGCTTCTTTGCTGATAGATATTATAGCTTACATGGTCGTATTTTACAAGGCGTAGTGTTCTGCGCCTCCTGTTTTTTCTTTCCCTTCCAGCTCTTTGACCAGCTGCTGAGCCGTCGGACGAGTCGATGGATCCTGCACCAAACAAGCCGAGCCCACGCGCTGTATCCGTGGAGGACAATCTTTGGAGAACGTTGGACGCAACATACCGGATACGACATCTTGTAAAATCTGGACAGGCTTGACTTTACCCCCGCTCTCCGTCAACGCGTCGTGGTATGGGATTTTACCCGTGTCCAGCTCGGATAATACCACGCCGAACGAATAAATATCTGCCTGCTCCGTGTACCGCTTGCCTTCCAAGATCTCCGGTGCCGTCCAGTATGGCGTCCCCACCCCCGCCGTCATAGTGGCTTCAACGCTCTTACGACTCACTCCGAAGTCGATAAGTTTCGGTTCAAGCATGTGCGTAAGTAAAATATTGGTCGACTTTACGTCGCGATGGATACATGACGGGGTTCGACTGTGGAGATAATCCAGAGCTTGTGCGATACCGACAGCCATGTGGATTTTATCTCGAGCCCAGGATAACAAGTCAGCGTTCTGGTGCAGGTAACTCTGCAGACTTCCCATTGGAACGTACTCCATCACCATCACCAAGTTGTTGAGAGTATTCCAAGCCACACTGACGAACGTGACAATGTGTGGATGATCCAGACTAGCAGTTAGTTCGATCTCTTCAGCAAACGCTTGGACGCTTTCAGCCTTTTGCTGCTTAATTTGTAGCAATCTCTTGATCGCAATTTGCTGTCCGTTGTGTTTACAAAGCCACACTTCTCCCGATGATCCCTTGGATAATAGTCGTTGGTACATGATACTCTCGTAGGGCATCCGTTTATCCATCAGATGCTGACTATTAAGCAGAATCTTAAGCGTTCTGCATGACCCAGCACTCTCGTATCCTCCTCGAGTCGACAGAAATGACCCCTGCGTCGTCATGACTGTAGGTCGAAGAGTGTGATCGGGCGTGGTAGCAGCATACTTAGGCAATGGTACAGTGCTTTCACTCGTGTATTGCGGCGAGACTGCAGTAAGATCACACGTAGTGGACACAGTCTCGTCAATGTCGCTCTTCTGCTTCCGCTTCCAGTAATACCGGCCACATCCAACCGCTATGATTAAAACTACAGCTCCCAAGATGATCGGGATCAGTAGCATTGTATCAAAACCAGAATCTTCAGCAAATTCCTCCTCCAGCCACGTTGTCACCCAAGCGCTTCCAGTCGGCGTGTGCATCGCTTCCATCTCTTTATCCGTAAACTCGTCTCTCCTATGGCACGGCACTGTCAACGCTCCATAGCCATCGTCAGCAGGACACACGTTCCAAGCCGGATCGTCAGCCACTGAAGTGGTGTGGACAGCGTAGACACTGTAAGAAACCTCCGTCACTGGGTCTACCCACGAGTGATCTCGAAGTCGAATATACGGGACCATATTTGGGTCTCCACCAACAGACCACATTGAGCCCAAGTAGCTGGTAGCAGCCGAGTCTACGAACGTATCTGCCACACACCTGGATACGTTGACCATCTGAGCTCCTGAGCAGATTAAAGTGTAGTAAGCTAACTCGTCGTTTGGCTGCGTACAGTTCTTGAAAGTGCATCCTTCCCCACTGACTTCATCTTTCGGGACGGCGATATCTGCCATAGTGTAGTCATTCATCGTCCAGATTTGAACGGGGTCATTAGCCGGAGAGAGAGCGAAGCCTGTGTCCCAGAGAACTGCACGTTGAACGAGACCCGGTAAGTCGCTGAACTGGGTGTTGAGGTCGCTGAGGCGGTTGGCTACTGCAGTGGGGACTGCGTTAAGTGTGACTTTGGCGTCTGTGTCTCCTGCTTTGTGTCGAATGTAGAGCTGCCGGGCGATGTCGGAGTTGGTACCGTCGAAAACGAACGAGTTTGATGATAAAGAAGAGGATTCTAGACTCCGTAAGCTGATTGTGTGAGCGTGTACCATGCTCGCAAGTACGACTGCAAGAGCAGTCACCCGCTTCACCCGTTTCATTGTTATGGCAATTCTTGGAATGATGAGGAGCTGAGGCCACCTGGTAGCGATGGGATTTGCATCGAGTCGGAGCATGACGTCCGGACTTGACCAAAAAGGGTCACAACAAGGGCATCAGATGTTCGGGTGAATCTAAAACTCACCGCGATGAAAGAACAGTGGTTGTTCTTGAAACCTTGAAAAGACTCCTACCATATCCGGCTGTGGTGGCGAAATGTTTGAAGACTGTCTGCACCAAATGTACTGACGCCATTGCCCGATGCTTTTAGCGAAGCAATGAAAGTCATTACAACTCTCAAGGACCCAGGTTCAGAATCTGAACCTCAGATGTAACTTACATCCAAGCATTACTTTATAAGGCTGAACAACTGTAGGGTGTCTGCAGATGCTGAAACACACTCCGTTGGCGTGTTGGTGCCAATTCTGGGCGTAAGCAAGCGAACACAAAGGTTTACGGTGGAATAAACGTTGCTTTCGGTGCGGCGAACAGCACGAATTGCCTAAAATCCTACCATTGACGCTTGTAGTTGCCGCTCTTGGGCACTACAATGCCAGCCCCGAGAGATCTATAGCATGTGAACGAACTTCAACTTGATATTTATCGATTGGATAGTACATGTATTCCACGCTACAGCAACGAGCACGACTTGGAGTGACACAAATACCAAGAGCGTAAGTGCAAAAGTATCTCAAACGGAGTACATGATCTCCGTAGTGCTGCCTTCAAGCTCTCGGATCAGCTGCGACGCTGTCGGGCGCAACGAAGGATCAAACGACAAGCAGGCCATACCAACGCGATAAATTCGTGGAGGGCACTGTCGCGTAAAACTCGGTTGCAAACATCCATCCACGATGTCCTGAAGAATCTGGAACGGCTTGGCCTTACTACCACCTTGAGTACGAGCGTCGTGATACGGGGTTTTCCCCGTGTCCAGCTCCGACAAAACCACACCGAAGGAATAAATATCTGCCTGCTCCGTGTATCTCTTGCCTTCCAGGATCTCAGGAGCTGTCCAGTACGGCGTACCGATTCCTGCTGTCATGGTGAGCTCAACGCGTCCGCGACTCACACCAAAGTCAATTAGTTTGGGCTCCAATTGTTTCGTAAGTAAAATATTGTTGGATTTTAGATCGCGATGGATGATTGGAGTGAATCGGCCATGCAAGTACTGCAGAGCATCAGCAACTGCAACGGCCATCTGGATTTTATCTCTCGCCCACGTCAATAAATCCGCGTTCTTGTGTAGATAACTCTGCAGATTTCCTTTGGGGAAGTACTCCAATACCATGGCAAGATTATTAAGACTGTTCCACGCTACGCCGATGAATTCAACGATACTGGGGTGGACGAGACTGGCGCTGAGTTCGATTTCTTCAGCAAATGCTTGAACGGTCTCTGCCTTCTGATTTTCTTGGATCAAGTGCTTCACTGCGACTTTGCGTCCATTGTACTCGCACATCCAGACCTCCCCGTTAACTCCTTTTGATAGAGTTGTTTTGAATACGACACTCTCGTACGGAATCCGTCGACCTTGAAGATACCGACTATGGAGCAGGATCTCCAATGTTCTGTTCGATCCTGCGCTCTCGTAATCTATCGACGACTGGCTAAAGAGAGAAGATTGTTGAGTGGGCCGTCCAGAAGAAGCGGCCGGGGGCTTTGCAAGCTCGGGCGTCATATAAAAGGGAGACTCGACGTCGAAGCCGTCTGCTTCTAGCTCTGGTTTCCCCTCTCTTCTTTTCGATCTACGACGCCAACAATACCATCCAAGCCCAAACAAGCCAAGAACAATAACACTACCCACGATGATCAGAACCAGCACCATTGTATCTAAACCTTGATCGGACTTTTCACCAAACTCCTCGTCCAGCCAATTCGTCACCCATGACGATCCTGTTGGTGTCGTCAGCTGTGCATCCATCTCGACGGTGACGTTGTCTCTCCGGTAGCAAGGAACTGCTAGTGCTCCATATCCATCGTAGGGAGCACACTGATTCCACGTCGCTTCCAACTCGCTGGGGACTGTATGCACAGCATAGACACTGTACGACACATTCGAGACGGGATCGTTCCACTTGTGCTCTCTCAGACGAATGTGCGGAGCCATATCGGGGTGTCCACCTTTCGCCCACATCGCCCCAAAGTAGGTTCCAGCACCATTGTCTTCGAATATGTCCACGACGCAGCGTGAGACGCTGAACATCTGCTCGCCACTGCAAATTAGAGTATAGGACGCGGTTTCGTTGTTCGGCTGCGAACAGTTCCTGAACGTACAACCAGCATCACTGACTTCGTCCATTGGAACTGCAAGTTCGGCCATGGTGTAGTTGTTTATTGGACGGATCTGGACTGCCTCATTATTTGGTGAAATCGCAAAGCCAGAGTCCCAGAGCACTGCGCGCTGGACAAGCCCGGGCAAGTCGTCGAACTTGATGTTGAAGGATTTGAGTCTGCCCGTAATAGCCTCAGGAATTGAAGAAAGGGTGACATTATGTCCGACATCTCCTTTCTTGTGGCGGATGTAGAGCTGTCGAGCGATGTCGGAATTGGTGCCGTCAAATATGAACGACTCCAGATTTCGAGCCATGGACATTACTTGATCTCGTGTCTCGTGTTTTAAGTTGGAGATTGATGCTGAAGGAGTTCTGAGCTGAAGACGGCAAATCGTGGAATGAGCAACGCGTCACGAATGAAGGGCGTCTGTGCGTTTGTCTGACAGCAATATAGTGGCGAAACGGATCTCTCCTAAGAATGGAGCCTAAGAAATTCAAGCGCTCAGACGACCAGTGTTTGGATGGGCCACTTGGGTTCACGATGACCAGTTAACGATCACTTTTCTAGCCTTTCTCGAAACGCTCTAGTTAGTAACTAGATAACATCGCGGTTTTCACAACGGTACGCTTGCGTTGCTGAGGACCCTATAGTGTCTCTTTAGAGGATGGATTCCCTAATTAACCACCTTCTCGAGCTTCCACTACGAGCTGAGTTGGGATCGAATCGTCTATCGGATTGAACACTACTAGTTTCTAGCAGTTGATCATTTGGCGCAAATAGAGTCCTTGCCATTTCGTTTCCACGTACTAGATTAAAAGCAACTTCTAGTACCCGGAAACGATGTTTCAAGGACTCGATTTTGCCATTAAAATGGCTCAGAAATTTATTATGTTAAATTATCTGGGTACCAGAAGTCAGGAGAGCCGCTGCTAGCATTTACAGATCTCCTGGGGGAAATGACTCGATCGGTGTATTTGCATTTTTATTGCTGAATCGGTAGGCGGGCGATTCCCTCTACTCGTTGCTAATCATCATGTGTTTCTGGAAAATGGTGAACACTGATCCAGCCACAAATTACAATTCTGTACATGTATTCCGGGATACATAGGTCTTGGTAAGCTTAGGTAGTGCTCCCAACTACTTGTTGGCTCCGCATCGATCTAGACCCCTCCTCCATGTTGCTGTGTAAGACTGTGGAGTATTGCGCATGGTGCCCAAACCTCCGAACGAATCATGAAGAATATGTTGGTTAACTATGTTGTGCACCTGCGTAGTGCTGTGGTATCAACTCTTCATGTTGAGAGAGACCTACGGACGCGGAGTCCAAAGGCGCGTTGGCGGCGACCGTGCCATTCCGACTATCGTTTCTGGATATTGTCGGACTCTGTGCAGTTTGTTTACTGGCAAGATTGGGAGTTCATCCCGTATTTTATGATACCGTTTAGAGAACAATCGTTTGGACGATAAAGATGGGAAGCTCGCAACGTTGCAGTCTAATCTTCCAGTTTACTGCCATTTAACCCTTGTAAATAAAACCCATTACACGCGGAAATCTAGTTGACGTATAACCTCACTTGCAGTTGGACGACTCGATGGATCGAGTGAGAGGCATGCCATAGCAACTCGCAGAACTCTTGAAGGACAGTCCTCTGAGAAGTTTGGACGCAATTCACCGGCCATGACTTCCTGTAGGATTTGGAAATGCCGTGCCTTACTTCCACCTTCCGTCACCGCATCAGTATACGGAGTCTTGCACATATCCAACTCGGATAACACAACACCAAAAGAATAAATATCTGCTTGCTCCGTGTAGCGATCCCCTTCCAAAACCTCAGGTGCAGTCCAGAATGGTGTACCTATTCCAGCTGTCATTGTGAGGTCCAGAACGACACGACTCACACCAAAGTCGATCAGTTTCGGCTCCAATTCATTCGAGATCAAAACGTTATTTGACTTGACATCGCGATGGATCAAAGGAGGACTGTGGGCGTGTAGATATTCCAGCGCTTTTGCGATTCCAACAGTAATACGCATCTTTTCTTGACCCCACGATAAGAGGTTCTTGTTCTTGTGCAGGTAGTCTTGTAGACATCCTTTAGGGTAGAATTCGATCACCATGGTGAGATTACTGAGACTATTCCACACTACACCGATGAATTCAACGATATTCGGGTGAACAAGCCTCGCAGTCAGCTCAATTTCTTCAGCAAATGCTTGCACCTTCACGGCATTTAAGTCTTTGGTGTGTAGTCTCTTAGCTGCTACTTGTCGTCCATTGTACTCGCAGACCCAGATCTCCCCAGAAGCTCCTCTAGAAGCCAGTCTTCTGAAACTCAAATTCTCGAAAGAAATACGTTTTCCTTGTAGATATTCGCTCCCGAATAGAATTTGAAGGGTCTGGTTCACGTTTGGACTGCAGTAGTTCGGATTGGACAGCGAAGACCTGCGTGTGTCGCCTCTAGCAGTTGATAATTTCTGCTTAGATCTGCACTGCCAACAGAACCACAAGACGAATAGAATGCCTACTATAATCGGGACCAAAAGCATCGTGTCGAACTCGGATTTTTCTCTAGCAAACTCCGTCTCAAGCCAAGTGTTCACCCACGCACTTCCAGTTGGCTTCGTCATATTAGCCGCTACCTCCTCGTCCGAATACTCATCTCTTCTGTGGCAAGGTACAGTCAATGACGCGTAACTTTCATCATGTGGACACTCGTTCCAAGCTGGATCAAGCTCATGAGGCACCGTGTGCACCACGTAGACGGAGAAGGTGATGTTGCCACCAAACTCGGCAATGTCTTGTGTCCACGTGTGGTCTCTCAGTCGAATTAACGGGGTCATATCTGGGTCACCTCCGACTGACCACATCATCCCTAGATAAGTTCCAGCTCCAGGATCTTCGAAGACGTCAGCCACACAGCGAGAAACGTTGAGCATTTGCCAGCCCGTGCAGTACTGACTATAGTGAGCTGTCACTCCATTAGGCTGAGAACAATTGAGATACGTGCAGTCCACATTGGTGACTTGGTACTTTGGCACTGCTAGATCGGCCATCGAGTGATTGTGCATGGTCCAGATCTGAACGGGATCATTACCGGGTGAAATGGAAAAGCCTGTGTCCCAGAGCACAGCACGTTGGACGAGGCCAGGGAGATCGTGGAAGTCAATATTGAGCGGATTCAGTCGGTCTAGTACAGCGGCAGGGATCGACGTGAGGTTGACTCGATCATCGGAATCACCTGCTTGATGACGTGTGAAAAGCTGCCGCGCAATGTCGGAATTGGTGCCATCGAAAACAAACGAAGAACTCGAGGAAGAAGAAGAGGTTAAACCTCGCAGTTGACCAGTTCGCTGGAGATTCCAACGCATTGAATGATCGACTTGAGACTTGTACGGAAAATTGCGAAATGGATGCACTGACTGACTGGCAGGCAGGAAGACCAGGATAAAGATCCATCGCACAACCCAAATAGGTACCTACGTACCCAACGAACCAACATGCATTTGAATGTGCTAAAGTTGTCCTAGATTGTCGATTATAGCTGTTCTACTCCGCTATCAGTGCAATTGTCCAGACCTTCGAGCTGTCGAACGAGTTGTTGTGCCGTCAGACGCCTCGATGGTTCGAGTGATAAACAGGCTGAAGTGATTCTGCGAATTCTAGCAGGACATTCTTGGGAGAAACTCGGCCGCATCGTGCCGGACATGACCTCTTTTAAGATCTGGAACGGCTTCAGTTTAGTTCCGTCTTCCGACACGGCGTCGTGGTAGGGAACCTCACAAGTGTCGAGCTCGGACAAGACGACGCCGAGCGAGTAGATATCCGCCTTCTCGGTGTAGTGGTTGCCCTCCAAAATCTCAGGCGCTGTCCAAAATGGCGTGCCTACACCCGCAGTCATTGAGAGCTCGACACGACCACGACTTACACCGAAGTCGATGATCTTCGGCTCGACTGAATCCGTAAGTAGAACGTTGCTGGACTTGAGATCTCGGTGGATCAGAGGTGGCGTACGAGCGTGGAGATATTCCAACGCACGAGCGATTCCAATGGCAATGTAGATTTTATCTCTTGCCCACGATAGACGATCTTTGTTCTTCTCAAGATAATCCTTTAGACTTGTGGGTAAATATTCCAGCAACATCACCAAATTGTCGAGACTATTCCAAGCCACACCAATAAACTGGACGATGTTCGGGTGGACAAGACTGGCAGTTAACTCAATTTCTTTGGCAAATTCCTGCACGCTTTCCGCCTTCTGTTTCTTTCTTTGAAGTAGGCGTTTAACCGCCGCTTTCTGTCCATTGTACTCACACACCCAGACTTCTCCCGATGCTCCCTTTGAAATAGCAGTCTCAAACACAACAGATTCATACGGAATCCGTTTTCCCTCGAGGTGTTCACTATCCAGCAGAATCTGGAGTGTCTTGTTCGATCCAGCCCTCTCGTAGTGGAGACTCTCGGAACCAGGCAGTGACGTTGAACTGGAGATTGAAAGGGATCTGTGGCTATCACTATTAGCGCCTTTAGCTCCAGATATTTGCTTCACCATTGAAGCCTTCGATTTTCGACGACAACCGAGCCATCCCAGAACAACTCCAGCTACGATAATAATCACACTTAACAAGACCGGGATCCACATCTGCGACTGAGTTTTCTCCATTGCAAACTCGTTCTTTAGCCACGTAGTCACCAGCTCCGAACCTGTTGGGACTGTCGTGTTTGCGGCCATGTACTCGTCCGTGAACTCGATTTTTCTGTGGCAAGGCACTGTCAGTGATCCAAATCCGTTGTTTGGTGGACACTGGTTCCAGGCCGGATCAAGCTCATGTGACACTGTGTGTACCACGTAGACAGAGAAGGTGACGTTACCACCAAATTCTGCAATGTCTTGTGTCCACGTGTGGTCTCTCAGTCGAATTGACGGGGTCATGTTCGGGTCACCACCAGTAGACCACATCATCCCTAGATACGTATCAGCTCCCGGGTCTTCGAAGTCATCGGCCACACAGCGAGACACATTCAGCATCTGCCACCCGGTACAGTACTGCGCGTAGTGCGCTATCTCCTCACTCGGTTGCGAACAATTGAGATACGTGCAGTCCACAAAGGAGACGTCAGATTTAGGCACTGCTAGATCTGCCATAGTGTAATTCTGCATGGTCCAGATCTGAATGGGATTATTACCGGGTGAAATGGCAAAGCCGGTATCCCAGAGCACAGCACGTTGGACGAGACCAGGAAGACCATCGAAGTTAATATTGAGCGGAATCAGTCGATCTAGTATAGCGGTAGGAATCGACGTGAGGTTGACTTGTTCGGCCGTATCACCAGCTTGATGGCGGATGAGAAGCTGCCGCGCAATGTCGGAATTGGTGCCGTCGAAAACGAACGACGAGCTGGAGGATGACGAGGAAACGGACGTTAAACTCCGCAGAGAGATCGTGTCGTGCTCGGCCATGTCCACTGTGTGGTCTCAGCCAGATCTTCGACTAATGATCAGCGACTCTTGACGCCCATATCAGCGCTACGTAGCAACCCACCTCGTTCCATTGTCATCCAGATTTAGTTTCTTTTCAGCTTTAAAATTCACCCTTTATTCACAATAAATCTTCACGTTGACTAAAATGTTTCACTATGTCTTCCTTCAAGCCACTGGATCAGCTCCTGTGCTGTCGGTCGATCCGAAGGTTCGAACGACAAACATGCTGCGCCGATCCTCTGTATTCTTGGGGGACAATCCGCTGAGAAACTCGGTCGCAATGTACCAGTCATGACTTCCTGTAAGATCTGGAACGGCATTAATCTGGTTCCGTCGTCTTCCACTGCGTCAAAATAGGGAATCCGTCCCGTGTCAAGCTCCGACAATACAACACCGAACGAGTAGATATCTGCCTTCTCAGTGTATCGATCTCCCTCCAGAATCTCTGGTGCCGTCCAGTATGGAGTACCGACACCTGCTGTCATGGTGAGATCCATCATACCTCGACTCACTCCAAAGTCGATGAGTTTAGGATCCAGACTTTCAGTCAATAGAATGTTGTTCGACTTGAGATCCCGATGGATAATTGCGGGGGTACGAGAGTGCAGATATTCCAGCGCTTCAGCCACTGCAATGGCCATAAAAATCCGATCTCTCGCCCACGATAAGATGTCGGAATTTGTGTGTAAATAGTCCCTCAGATTCCCTCTTGGAACATATTCCAACACCAGTGACAAGTTGCTGAGACTATTCCAAGCCACCCCAATGAACTTGACAATGTGCGGATGAATTAAACTGGCCGTCAACTCGATCTCTTCAGCGAAAACCTGCACGTCTTCTGCCTTCTGGTCTCTAGTATGCAGTAACTTCTTCACTGCCACTTCTTGGCCTCCGTAGCGGCAGATCCAGACTTCTCCTGACGCTCCTTTGGATAACTCCGTCTGGAAAACCAGACTGTCGTACGGGATTCGATTTCCGTGAAGATGTTGACTATGCAGCAATATCTTTAACGTTTGGTTGGAACCAGCACTTTCGTAGTCGTCAGGATGACTAGAAATGGACGGCCCGTAGCTCGTAGTCGTCACCGTCCGTCGAAGAGCTTGTTCGTGAGTAACAACATCCAAGTAATTTGGAGAAACCACGTCAAAATCGCAAGAAGAAGCCTGTTCTCTCTTGAGCATCGAGCTCCGTTTCCAGCAGAACCAGCCAATCCCCATGGTAGCAATCACCACTAGAATAACCGGAATCAATAGAAGTTCTTCGAATCCTGAGTCTTCCACTGCGAACTCGTCTTTTAGCCACGTCGTCACCCACGCACTCCCTGTAGGTCTCGTCAATGCAGCCATCTCAGCGTCGGTGAACTCGCTTCTCTTGTGGCACGGGACGATTAGTGAAGAGTAGCCATCGTTAGCAGGGCACTGGTTCCAAGTCGGATCGTCAACACTAGAAACCGTATGAACAGCATAGACACTATAGGAAACACCGGTGGTAGGCTCCGTCCACGTATGATCTCTCAGTCGAATGTGTGGGGTCATAGTGGAGTCCCCACCTGTAGACCACATTACTCCTAAGAAATCTGATGCACCAGAGTCTTCAAACGTGTCGACTACACATCGAGAAACGTTGAGGATCTGAGTTCCGGAACAGTATTGGCTTGAATACGCTGGGATGTCGTTTGGTTGAGGACACTCTAACATTGTGCAGTTCACTTTGGTGATATCGTCTTGAGGAACAGCGATGTCTGCCATGGTATAATCTCCTATCGTCCAAATTTGCACGGCGTCGCCTGTAGGAGAGAAACCGAAGCCTGTATCCCAGAGAACAGCGCGTTGAACCAGTCCTGGTAAGTCAGTAAAAGTTATCTTTAACGGGTCGAGTCTGTCCGTCACTGCAGTCGGAATTGAGTTGATGGAGACTGCGGCGCTTGTGTCACCAGCTTGGTGACGGATGTAGAGCTGCTGCGCAATGTCTGAGTTGGTACCATCGAAGACGAACGAAGAGTCTGAAGGTAAAGATAAAGGGTCCTCCTCTTCCAGGCTTCGGAAGGTGATCGTATAGTCTTGGGCCGTGGTTAAAGTGGCTGCAATAATTGGAAGGAGGCCAGGCAGTCGCATCACTGCGAGTCAGTCTATGAATGAGCAACATGCGGCCAAGAGGATAGAGTCGCAATGGAGGCCAGGATGGCGACACTAGGGGAGCTGGTGCAGATGGATTTCCATCATCTGGAGCAATTATATGGCATCAATTTGAAAACACGCCACGACACTAGCAAATGGTCCACACCTTATACCAACGCTCTCTAGACATGCTTATAAACCAAAGCAAAGGACACTAAAGCCTCCTTTACTCGAAGTGCGGTGAGATCGATCTGTTACAGTGGTTATTCAAAACAACGTTACCTAATAGTAGTCGGAAAATAATGCAAAAAAATAATACATGTACTGCCCCAAGCGTCCGGAATAAGCAAAAACTCGGGATGTGTTTTTGTCTTTGAAGACCTCAATATATATATATCGGCTAAACTTCTTTCAGTCGTGGTTTGATTTGGTGCAAATGAGTCCATTTCGCCTTCGACACCAAATTCACCAGAACAACTGGAACATGGAATCCTCACACAGGAGATGGAAGAAGTGAAAACCTCCTTCTTCTCAAGTCACGCCTGCCACTTACACTTCTCGTCGGAAGTAACCCCAGTATTTCGAGTCGTCAAGAATACCGGCTTCGCATCGGTCTCGCATCGACATCAAAGCGAAGTCTGTACAGTATCAAGTGTAGTAAATATTCCCTGCGATACTGCATCGTAGCAGCCATTATAGAGTGTAAATTCTGTGACGAACATCCATCCACAGCACTTGCGTTAGCTCAGCTGCAGTCGGTCGAAGCCCTGGGTCATGTTGCAAGCACTGCATTCCGACCGACCTGATCCACCTCGGACACTTATCAGTGAAAGATGGACTCAATCTTCCATCTAGAACCCAGTGTAGTATCTGCAATGGCTTGGGTTTCTTCCCCTCTGCCGTGACGACATCAGAGAACGGCGTCTTGCACGTGTCCAGCTCGGATAAAACCACTCCAAACGAGTAAATGTCCGCTAGTTCGGTGTATCGTTTGCCCTCCAGAATCTCCGGTGCGATCCAGTACGGCGTTCCCACCCCAGCCGTCATGAAGCCTTCTCTACGAGTTCGACTCAGGCCAAAGTCGCTGATCTTTGCCTCTAAAGTGTCAGTTAGTAAAATGTTCTTGGGCTTGAGATCTCGGTGAATAATTGGCGAGTCTCGCCCGTGAATATACCGCAGAGCTTGAGCAATCCCGACGGCCATGCGGATCTTGTCTCGTGACCAGGACAAGAGCCGTCCGCTCTCAACCAAGAACCTCCTCAAGTCGCCCATCGGACAGTACTCCATCACCATTGACAGGTTCTCTGGACTGCTCCATGCCACTCCTATGAATGATACAACATGCAGGTGGTTCAAACTTGCACTCAGTATGATTTCCTCGACAAAATTTTTAACATCCTTCGCAGTACGCTCGTTTGTTCGAAGTAACTGCTTGACAGCGACGCGCCGGCCTTTGTACTGGGCGAGCCACACTTCACCGGACGCTCCAGTCGATAACGTCGCCTTGATGTGGAGATTCCGGGTTGGGATACGTTTCCCAGCCAGATCCAGACTTTCGAGTAATGTTGGTAAACACGTGTCCACCTCGTTGCTTCTTGGCGGTACGCGAAATGTTTGGTCAAGGCCGAAGGGCTTTGCGTTGGTGTCTAAGGACAAGGTGTGCCAACCCTCACTAGAAGGTGCTGATTTTGGTTGCTCGTTGGACTCGTACGGTTCCGAACAGGGCAGATCGAGCACAGGAGACTGCACCATTAGCTCTCGACTGCGGCGTTGCTTCCGATATCGACGATAACAAAGTCCAATCCAGATAATTGTCATGATGGCCAGGAAGCCGACAGTCAAAGGAAGCACCAGCCAGAGGTTGAATTGGGGTCGTCCGGGCTCCTTCACCCCGAGTGGTTGATCCGAAGCTCCGGAAGCTTCCGAGCTGAGCAATTGTCGACGGAAGACACTCGCATTGACACCATCGAGTAGAGCAAGCAGCGAGGCGAGAGCTCGAGTTCGCATGGGAGATCTTTTTCACGACTGACGGGGTCTCTTTCGCGATCCCCAGTAGCGAGCTTCATGGGAATTCGCGCGGATCTGAACACGACGTGACCAACGTCTGACAGCGATGCCATCGGCCCGTGCCTGAGTGAGCAAAAGTCAAGTGCATCTTCCGACTTGATCTGAGCGAGGTCAAACGCGGTCTCTAGACCACTAGATCACGAAGTCACGGATCGAACACCAAGTACCACGTCGTATCTTGGTGGAAGTTTGGCCATCATCGCCGTAGCATTCCGAAAACCAGAACCTATCGTTCGTGTACTGCCGCCGGCACTGTCTCGGCCTCGAACTGCGGATAATAGACCCGGTTGAAGACTACGTCACCATAGTAATTGACAAACCGGTGGACAATCGAAAATATGCGTCAACTGCTTGACGAGAAACTACAATAGCTTCGACAATTAAAGAGTCTCCGTCCACTTCAAGTTGGCAGTGCCAGCTGGAGGGTAAATCCTGTGTCAACACCGCCACACCATGGCAAACGTCGACTCATCTGCCGAGGGACTACACGTGTGCACGCATGTAGAGCACTGCGCGTGTACTGAGAGCACAGACCCAATGCTTGCGCTTGTATTAGTTACCCCCGAATGGTACTCTTCCGCATCCTGCAGACCTTATGGGTACGCGTATCACCCGATTCCCTCTGAACCCAAAACGCGCTTCAGCAGCCTCAACGGAGACGCTCGCTCGGCCACTGGATTGCCATTCCTCAATATCGGCCGTGCTGGCCATCACTGTTCCTAACCAGTTCCGGTCATGTCGGCGAGTTCGGCTGACTCTATCGCCTTGGATGGGTCGAGCTCCGACCTTAGTCGGCAGTTATATTACCGTGCCAAAGCCAACGATTCTGTGGCTCAGGTGACGCTTAACCCAGTTCCCGACGCCGTACAAAGTCGGTTAGATGACTTGGAACTCGACTGGAGCAAACTGCCGGGTCTGGCTCAGTTGGCACTGTTATGGGACTCTGGGTTCGCCATCAACTCCAATAACGACGCTGTCCAGGTCTGGACCTTGGAGGGCCACAGCATGTCCACGTTGGCACTCACACTGACCGAGTATGAGAATGCCGGTTGTGTGCCTAAAAACTGCACGGAGCCGGACGACGCCATCATGTATGAGAGTCGGTACTGCAACGGGGCTCAGATGAGCTACGCCGCCAAGTGCGTCGTCCAGGACTTCGACGGCGACGGCGCATACCACGCAGCAATGTGGGGCATCGGAGGCAATTCCGAGTCGGCTCCGGCACTTCGGATGCTCAAACACGAGTGGAACGACAACGGTACTGACTACGAGATCATGGCTCTGCATACCGTGACAGCGGAGAACGAACCGGGCTGGAATGCCTGTCCAATCAGCAACATGAACGGAGGCTACGGGTCGCTGGTGTTCCCGTGCCGGACGACGGGCAACATTACGGCCGAGAATAAAAAGCAGATGAAGGAAGTCACGGGGTCCGCTTGGGTGTCGGAGTGGCTGGTGACGGACTATAAGGACACGGCGGGGGTGGACTCGAGCGGGTTTAACATGTTACTACTGATCCCCATTATTCTCGGAGTTTTGGTCATTTTTGCGCTAATCGGACTGGTATTTTACTGCAAGAAGAAGCGACGACAAAGATGTCTGGATGAATTCGAGGAGTCCACTACTGGTGAGTCACCGTATGTGGTCGCTCCGTCGGCTAAAAGCTTCGATCAGCGAGATACACTCGCTCGGCCGACAGTCGCGGTTAGTGAAGACATGACTACGGCCACGTACTCGGGTGCCGACCAGACGATTCAGTTCCCAGGCTACGGTGGAGAATTCATGTCTGGAGGGTCAAATACCACGCTGAGCGTGCTTCTAATGAGCGAATATCTCGTCGGACAGCGGATTCCACTTGAAAATTTAAATTTCGAGAGAGCTCTATCCAAAGGAGCGTCGGGAGAAGTGTGGATATGTGAATATGCAGGCCAGAAAGTTGCAGCTAAGCGATTGCTACAAACCAAGGAAAACAAAGCCGAAGACGTCCACGAATTTGCTCTGGAGATCGATCTAAACGCTCGTCTGGAACATCCGAACATCGGAGCTTTTATCGGCGTGGCATGGGGCAGTCTCAACAATCTAACTATGGTGATCGAGTATTTCCCACTTGGAGATCTACAGAAATATCTAAAGAGAAACGCTGATCTGTTATCTTGGGCCAGAGATAAAATTCACATGGCGGTGGGTGTGGCTCGAGCGCTCGAGTATCTTCACGGATATTCTCCTCCCATTATCCATCGTGACCTCAAATCCAAGAATATTTTACTTACGCGACAATTGGAAGCTAAAGTGATAGATTTCGGTGTAAGTCGTGGACGTCTGGATAATACCATGACAGCAGGTGTCGGCACTCCATTCTGGACCGCGCCAGAGATTCTGGAAGGCAAGAGATACTCGGAACAAGCCGACATTTACTCATTCGGTGTGGTTTTATCCGAGCTGGACACGGGTAAAATACCGTTTTACGACTGTGCGGGCTCAGACGGGAAGAAAACTAAGCCGTTCCACATCCTCCAAGAAGTTATGGCTGGTACTTTACGCCCCAGTTTCTCGCCGGATTGTCCGCCTCGTATCCGTCGTATTGGTGTGCTCTGCTGCCAGCACGATCCTTCTCGACGGCCTAGTGCAGCTCAACTGGTTGAAATGCTTCAAGGGAACTAGTTGCAGTTAAGTTAAAACCTTAAGTTGATTCTCTTTTTTAGTGTAAGCTATCCTATCCTGTATAAGCGCATGGGCTGCGCTTCAGCCTTCCAGCATCCTCACAAGCTCCGAAGCGGACGGTCTCAAGTTCGGGTCATGCTGGAAACACGCGTCTGCTGCCTTCGAGATCCGCTGAGGACAATTACAGGAGAGACTCGGTCTCAATGTGCCATCCACGACCTCTTTGAGGATGTGGAATGGCTTCATCTTCTCCCCGTTAGCCCCCAAAGTATTGTGGTACGGGGCTTCACAAGTGTCTAGCTCCGTTAGCAGCACTCCGAATGAATAAATATCTGCCTTCTCCGTGTACTCCGTGCTCTCGAGCACTTCTGGTGCGGTCCAGAAGGGAGTTCCCACCCCAGCAGTCATGTCGTTAGGTTCCCACAGTCGACTCGCTCCAAAGTCGATCAGTTTCGGCTGCAATCTCTTGGTTAACAAGATGTTACGAGCCTTGATGTCGCGATGAATAACCTGTCGACTGTGCAGATAATCGATCGCTCTGGCGATTCCAATAGCCATGTCGATCTTGTCTCGAGCCCACGTCATCAGGTCTCCGTTGCGCTTCAGATAGTTCTGTAGATCTCCTCGAGGAAGATATTCCTCCACCATGGCTAAATTCTCCAAACTACTCCACGTTACGCCAATGAATCGCACAATATTCGGATGATTCAGACTCGCTGTAAGTTGAATCTCGTTCGTGAACTTCTCGGTCTCCAGGAACGTGTGAGTTCTCGTCTGTAGCAGTCGCTTGACAGCCACTTTCTTGCCGGCATAGCGACACGCCCAGACTTCACCGAACGCTCCTCGAGACAGCAGTCGACCGAGTTCAATACGCTCCCAGGCGATGCGCTTGCCAATGAGATTGGAGTCTGTTGTCAGCGTGTACTGCACGTTGTCGGTGGCAGAGTAGCGACTGAACGTCTCACGTAGAGCAGGAATGGATTCCCGATCAGCTTGGATCGAGTCTCGGATCGACGGCATGAACTCCGTGATCGGAGACATCGACGCAGACTCCCGTAGTGTCGGCAAATGGTCTCGAGGGGCCGCTGAATGATTACGTGTCGATGATCGATCACTCCAAGTCTCCGATCTGCTGCGACTTCTACGCGAACTGCGAGCGGATGATGGACGAGTACAAGTCTGAACTGACGGACGTCGTATCGGATTCGGAGCTCGAGCTGAAGAGGGGCGGATGGGAGATGTTCGAGTAGTTTGACGCTCGTCAGCAGATCTTTGACCTGATGATTGACGCGTGGTTACGTTCGAAGTGCGACGAGATGACTGCGCTCGTTCGGGTGATACAGTGTGGGTTGAGTGCGTCCTTGCCCGTGGAGTGGAACTGTGAGGAGCTGGGACTGTGCCTCTTCTACTTGTTGGTGCGTTGGTTGGGACTCCACGTGTAGGTGGCGCAGTTCTTGATGCTGGTGTTGTATTTCTTCGTGGACGTGGCAGGATCTCCTCACTTACAGGAGACGGTTCTGCAACCGGACTGTCGTCCTCACCAGGTAATCGAAGAGTGCGATTAAACTCGCCGATCGTTTGTTGTTCTGTACGACGAAGACTCGTCCTGTTCTCGCGTTGACGAGGAGCAGCGAGAGGACCCGAAGGTTTCGATTTCCTACTTGAACCGAGGTCACTCTCTGCAGGAGAAGGGCGTTGGAAGTAGACCGATCGCAGTCTCCTTCGTTTCCTGAAGACAGCGAAGATGATCAATATGGACGCGATCAAAGCGGAGAGGAGGATCGGACCGAGCAGCCACAGGTTGAACCCGCTGCCGTCGCTGTCGGACTCGCTGTTCACTGTAGTATCCGACGCAGGTTGGTACTGTTTGATCCACGTCGTCACCCACGGCGTAGCAACCGGCGCTGACATGACAGCGACGATGTCGGCCGACGTGTTACTCATCGGGTAGCACGGCACGACAAGTGACCCGTAGCCGCCTTTATTGCACGTTCCGTACGCCGGTTCCGCGTCCACAGTCATCGTATGAACAGCATACAACAAATACGAATCGTTTGTGGACGCGTCCAGCCATCCATGCATCACCGCTCGGATCTCCGGAACCATATCGGGATCCCCTCCGTCCGACCACATCGCAAGGTGGGAGCTCGTATCCGAGTCGAAGTTGTCCATCAAACACTTGGCCGCCGTCAGCATCTGCGTGCCCGTGCAGAAGTTATTCGCATAATACGTCGAATCGTCCGGCTGACTGCAGTTCAACGCTGTACATCCTGTGGTATCGAATTCCACTTTTGAGATCGCTAGATTCGACATAGATCGACCTCCTAGTGTCCAAATCTGCACTGCGTCGTTCTCGGGCGAGATCACGTATCCTGAATCCCATAGCAGTGCTCGCTGTAACAAACCCGGTAGATTGTCGAACGATACGTTCAACGGAGCCAGTCGCGCCGTGACAGCGGCCGGGATCGTATTAGGGACGCAATTATCAATGGATTCCCCTGCTGCGTGTCGTAAGTAGAGCTGTCGAGCGATGTCGGATGAGGTGCCGTCGAAGACGAACGAGTTGTTCGTCGGCAGCTCGGAGCCTGCCTGTGCTTCGGAAGTGAAGCTCAATGTCAGTTCCCGTTGCATGGCATCAGATGCGGCGACCTCTGTCAGTGTCGCCACCAAGACGACTGCGACTAACGCCGCGAGTCGAGCGCGACGACGCGCCATGTTGCGCTCGCGTCTGTCCGAATACAAACTGAGCCAGTTTGACGCCAACGTGAACGAGAGCAGGTTCGACGACGTCGGCGTGAACGTGTTGGACAAACTTCTTGGACACTCGTGTGCAGCTTATTCGGAACTGATCGATCGCTTTTGTAACCCACGCAGTTTTGCAAACACACTTGTGTTTGCGGACGTTGCTACAGACTGAACAATGCCGTCCGCCTGATGAAGCGTATTACAAAATGCATACCCTTCCATCTCGATGCATTGCCCCGTGCATCGAAAGGCATCGATCCATAGTCGAGATTTATGAAAGCGTTGACAGTGACGTCTCCAACAATCGATTGAGGTGGAAGAGACTAAGCTTTTTCGTCAAAGTCGCTTGGCCCCAACGATTTGCCTAACGCGGACAGAAACTGCGATTCGATTGACCCGGAAAGCAGAGACACGGGCAGTGAGTGAAACTCACTATGGTCGCCTGGAAGCCGTTCCACAGTGCCTCCAGTACGATTTGCCAATAATTCTGGAACTTGTCACCTTACAGCAGTCGATAACCTCGACGAATCCTTTTAATCCGCGCCAAGGGTGACCTCTATCGACACGAAAGATGCTGTCGGCATACCTGCTTTGATAACTTGGAAGTTACAGAAAATCTGTGGTGATGTCCATGGCTTCCCCATTTCGTGGACATTGTTTGATCAGGTGCGTTCCTAGATATCCGGAAACATCTTTGGATCGGACGTTGCATGGCTCAGATAGCCACCATCACGCCTGGTCGGGTATCGAATGTCCATTGTTTCCACTGTGGGAACAAGGCTCGAAAGTACACACGTGCCCGCCGATCCATTTTGGAAGCCTTTCCAAAGCCGAGAACTCGACGATTGCGAGCCGCAATACATGTAGACTGTACATGTATTTGATAAGGTCGAGATTGAGCTCACCATGACATCGCTTGACAAGAAACACTGCACACAAGTTGAATTTGTCTGCTTAGCTGTTCACACAAAATCTTCAATATAAAAACTTTCAGAAGAAATCTGAACATTTTGTACAGAATTGTTTTCACGCGGCAAACATGTTGTCTCAATCTTTCGTGCAAATTGGCATCAACAACTGGTGCTTACTAGTAAGTTACTGCCTGTAGGCAATGCGTTAGTACCTGGCTTCGCACTACGAACCACAGAGAGGAAAACGACTCGAATCCATGGGGCTCGGGGGAAATTGGAATCGCAATTTTTTGAGTTCGACCACATGAGCTGGTGGCCATTTGTTTGGCGATCATCTGGTGCATGAGCAGACACTTTGGGCACAGCTGTGTTCATTTCGATGCCACAAGTGCCAAATGAGCCTCATCAACAGGACGTCGTGACCCAAGGTGCTTCATCAACACCTCGCACGCCACGTTGGTAGACGCCACATTGCCACACGTTGAGGTGCCCTTGAAGCAAACAGACTCCGATTGACGACATCCATCCATCATAGCATGAACAAAGGATTGCTCACCGTGAGCCACCACACAAATGCTTCATGACGCCAGTGCCAATTGACTGATGTCTGCATGGACATTGATAAGATCGAATCGAAGACCGAGGTTAAAACACAAAATAATCTTACACATTTTTATGATTCTATCTTGGAATGCCATCATTTCCAGTTTTATAATAGTAACATATTTAGCTTTCACCAGCATCAGTGGAGGCGAAGTACACCGTGCTGGAGCAATCTATCCTATTCAGTACCACCTACCCGACAGGTGGCAAAGGAAAAAGTACTGCATGTAGAAAAATTGTCTTTTGCCGATGATATTGTTTGAGGTAAAAATCATCCTTGCAGATGACATCCATTTAAAAATATTGAATGACGCTGGGTGCATCACCCGAACACCGCCAAGCTCCAGGAACTAAGCGTTCATCTCTTTTTTCCACCTTCACACTGTGAAATTCATCGGTGTGGAAGCTACAGCTCCAACGCACACGTTCAGCATTTCTTTTGATTTGTCGTAATTTATCATTGGAAACAGTAGACATAAACTCGCTGCCATTCGGTGTGGTCCGAGGAAACTTCTCGAATCACAGCGACCTGAAATGGATCGAATGTCTACCCAAGTACGACAAGCTTTTCGAGAATTGGCTACGAAGGTGCCATGCTCCACTTCGCAGCATGCTGCAGCGGCTGAAACTATCTAGAGAATCAACTCAAAATCAAAGTATTTGTAGGATCTATCGACCTCGTCCTCCGTTTTTGATGGAACCAAGTCTGTTCTACATTCGACACCGTGGTGACACGAGCGATAAAGTCTCACAGAACACTGTTCCAACTGCTGTAGCCAACCAAACGGACCAAGCCTCTTGCAAGGTCAGAAATTTGTAAAATAATGCAGCAATGGTAACTTCCTAACTTTCTGAGCTCACTCTGCGGCTAGCTCGAACACTATTGCTTGCAAAATACGTCTGGTACCTGCTCTTTCTAGATTAGTCAGAAGGCTGTCTGAGCATCTCCAGCACTTGAGCTGCGGTTGGTCTTCGATCTGGATCGTGCTGACAGCAAGCTACGCCAATCCGGCGAATTTGCGGGGAGCATTCTTTCGAGAAAGTCGGTCGTAATACTCCTGTTATCACCTCTGCCAGGATTTTGAACGGCTTTTGGCTCTTCCCTTCCGGTGTCAATGCGTCGTGGTAAGGAAGCTTGGCGGTATCTAACTCCGACAACACCACTCCAAACGAGTAAATATCTGCCAGCTCGGTGTACTGCTTCCCCTCGAGGATCTCCGGCGCCGACCAGTACGGAGTGCCGACACCAGCAGTCATGATATTCTCTTGCCGGGTTCGACTCACACCAAAGTCGCTCAGTTTAGGCTCTAGGCGTTTAGAAATCAGAATATTTCTGGATTTCAGATCACGATGAATAAGCGGAGGAGATCGGGAGTGCAAGTACTCGAGAGCTAGAGCAATTCCAATGGCGATGTGGATTTTATCCTTGGACCACAGCAACAAGTCAAAATTCTTACGTAGATACGCTTGTAGATCTCCAAGCGGGAGGAACTCCAGCACCATGACGAAGTTAGTGAGACTGTTCCAAGCAACACCAATAAACCCCACAATATTCGGATGAGTTAAACTGGCACTGAGTTGGATCTCCTGTGCGAATTCCTCCACTTCGTCTGCTGAGTGGGTCTTGCTCTGTAATAATCTTTTCACTGCCACTTGTTGGCCTTGAAAATCTGCTAACCACACTTCTCCACTGGCTCCTTTCGACACGACGCGTTCGAAGTGAATGCTGTCGTACGGAATTCGCTTGTCGAGCAGAGATTCACTACCGATAGTCTCTCTTAATGTCGAGCTGGTCCATTCGAAATCACCAAAAGTGCTGTTATTTGCTGGATGGTGTGAGGACAAGCCTTGATTACTATTCCTATAGCCTCGTTTGAGATCTTTGGAGCAGATTTGTGCTCCGTCAGATGAAGTAGATTTTGGTTGCCGTTGTCGCCTCTGTTTTACGATAATTAATAATCCAAGCAGTCCGATAGTGGCGACAATTCCACCGATAATTGGAACCAGCAGTATCATTTTGAACTCATGTTCGTCGGGTGTTGAGTAGTCTTCCACTAGCCAACGAGACACCCAAGGACTGCCTTCGACTTCTTTCATCGCCTCCATAGTAGCATTCGTTATATTATCGGTTGTGAAACACGGCACGACTAACGACCCGTAGCCGTCGTTCTGAGTAGAATCTGGGCACGTGTTCCACGCAGGTTCGTCATCAAAATCCAGGGTGTGGATGGCAAACACAATATAAGAATTTTTATCCCTTTGATCCTTCCATTCGTGTTTGAGCACGTGTGGAGTTGGAATCACGATAGGATTCCCACCAGTTACCCACATTGCAGCATGGATATCACCAGTGTCCACAAAGTCTTCAACGACACAGCGAGCAGCTTGAAGCAGTTGCGCCCCGCCACACCATTCGTTACTGTAGCTGGTGGTATTATCTGGTTGAACACAGGCTTTTTCCTCGCACCCGACAGCTCGGACTTGTTCAAGGGGGACTGCGAGATTTGCCATGGTGTGGTTATTCAGCGTCCAGATTTTCACTGGGGTATAGGATGCTGTTAAACCGAAGCCGGAATCCCACAGCAGCGCTCGTTGGGCGATACCAGGTAATTTATTCCAATCCAAGTCGAGTTCATCCAGTCGGTCCTGAACAGCAGAAGGGATCTCCAAATTGTTGAACTGTGAAACTGAGGCTTCAGCGTTGGCACGGAAATACAACTGACGAGCGAGGTCGGAGTTGGTCCCGTCGAAGACGAAGGAACCATCGTCTGAAGGCAAATCTGCGTCTTGGTACCGCTTTGATGCAGCTAGGTGGCGTCTGTTCTCAGTCTGCATTGAGAGGATATGTTTCATTGTGCGCAAGGGTCGTCAAAATGATAAATGAAGCGGTTCTGATTTAAACACCCTCTGTCTGTTCAGCAAGAGCACCGACGTGAAGAGAACTCTGACGAATCCCCGATAACGAACCGAGTACAATTACCGCCATGTAACAAAATCTTTCAGATGAGTAAATGCCTTCATATCCATGTCTGGGTACTGTAGTCAATATATTAAAATTTAATAATCCAAATTTTGGGTTAACCAAACTGCTCACAGCGATAAGAAAATAGAATTGTAGCATTGTACTTAAGTACTTAAAATGATTTTTTTTTATCTTTCCAAGCCTATGCGCAGTTGCTCTGATGAGATAGCATATATTAACGGAGTGCATTACGAAACCATACAGTTTAAATGTCTTACTATTCTGCACGCACGTTAATCTGCTACTGTCAGCATGGTTACGACCTGAGCAGCATTTGGCCGTCTTGAAGGATCCTGCTGGCAACAAGCTACACCTATACGACGGATACGCCGCGGACATTCATCGGAAAAGCTTGGACGCAACATCCCTGCCATCACGTCTGCCAAAATCTGAACTGGCTTGAGCATCTTCCCATCTGAGCCCACCACGTCATGGTATGGTAATTTACACGTATCCAACTCGGACAGCACCACCCCAAATGAATAAATATCTGCCTGCTCAGTATATCGCTTGCCTTCCAAAATTTCTGGTGCAGTCCAGTATGGCGTACCAACTCCGGCGGTCATGGAATACTCCTGTCGAGCTCGACTGACACCGAAGTCGATCAGTTTTGCCTCTAGTGCTCGCGTTAGAAGGATATTCTTCGACTTCAGATCCCGGTGGATGAGCGGCGGTGTCCTTGAGTGCAGATACTGCAACGCACTGGCTGTCCCCACAGCGATGTGGATTTTGTCCCTGGACCAGGACATCAAGTCGCCATTCTTCTGTAGATACGACTGCAGATCCCCCATCGGGAAATACTCGAGCACCATAACCAAATTATTGAGCGAATTCCAAGCCATCCCAATAAACGACACGATGTTGGGATGTTTCAAGCTGGCGCTGAGCTCAATCTCTTGTGCGAACTCCTCCACTTCGTCTGCATGGTGATTCTGGTCTTGAAAGAGACGTTTGACAGCGACTTGCTCGTTTTGGTACTCACAGAGCCACACTTCTCCGTTTGCTCCTTTAGATAGAGCTTGCTTGAAGATGATACTGTCGTACGATAAACGCTTTCCGACTAGAAACTCGCTGTTGTGAAGAATGTTTAGTGTGCGATTGGACCCCGAGTCGAACTCTCCAGTGTAGAAGGGCTTGAGTTTGATGGTTCTGTCAACGGCTTTGTATGTTGCAGTTTCCGAATCCACAACGGTATGGGCTATAGATCTATCAGGGATGGAGACGTCATCTAAGAAGTCGGGATCTCTGATGCCTTGATAGTAGTTGTTTGTACATACTGGTGATTCTTCACAGTAATCCAGATCCTTTTTGGCTTGTCGTCTCCTCTTACAGAAGAAAAAGAGTCCACCTATCCCGATGACAACGAGAACTCCAGCAGCAATCGACACAATAAGCAGTACGTTCAATTTCCCATTGTCAGGACTGGTTCCGGCAATTGATGAATAGTCTTCAACGAGCCAACGAGAAACCCAGTCAGTACCAGTAGCCTCTCGTTTTGCGCTGTCGATTTCAGCAGTAATGTTTTCAGTCGTGTGGCATGGTAACACCAGCGATCCATATCCATCGTTTTGATCTGCCTTGGCACATTGGTTCCACGCGGGCTCGCCGATCAAATCGACCGTGTGAATAGCGAACACGACATAGTCTTTGTGGTCGTTACTGTCATTCCACGCATGTTTGTTCACTCGGGGAGTTGGGACGACGTCAGGATTTCCACCCGTGACCCACATGGCGGCGTGGATATCAATGCTATCAACGAAATCTTCGATGACGCACCTGGCAGCCTTGAGCATGTCGCCTCCAAGGCACTTATTGTTGCTTAAAGAGGTCTTATTATTCGGTTGTTCACAGACTTTCACAGTGCATCCAACATCTTCAAACTCAGATCGTGGAACAGCAAGATCGGCCATGGAGTGGCCATTCAGCGTCCAGATCTTCACGGGTTTATTGGCTGAGGTGATGGCAAAGCCGGAATCCCACAGCAGCGCTCGTTGAGCGATACCAGGCAGTTTGTACCAGTCTAGTTTAAGCTCATTAAGGCGGGTCTGGAGAGTTTTTGGTACCTCGAACTTGTCGAACTGATCCGCGGTGTCTCCTGCTTTGTCTCGATAATAGAGCTGCGTCGCGAGGTCAGAGTTGGTCCCGTCGAGGACGAAGTTGGAGTTCTTTGAAGGTAGTTCTGCATTTGCAAACGCATCCGAAGACGCAAGTCGGCGCTCCTGCAATGGAATCATTTCCGTAAAACCACAAATGGACAGATCCAAGAAGGCTGCCATAGCTGAAATGATCAAGGAGGCCGTTAGTCTTTATCACCTTGCAGTACATTTGCTGAGTGTCCGTTTTTTACTGGTCACTTGAAGGAAACAGTTATTTCGACACGTCAAGCTGACGTGTCGATGTCGTTTAAAAATGATCGCCGAAAACTGTTTTCTATATATACGACTTCGAAGCACAGTTGATATGGAGACATTTTATTTTATTATATTTATGCGGTAGCACTCAGGATGATCTCTGCATCAACCCGGCTTACCAGGTACCTCGACCTGGCGGCACCGGCTTCCAGTATCCACGCCGAAAATTATGCTCAATATGTAGTACCCGTATCCGGGGTAGCTGGACTATCTTGATACAGTAAGTAGTAATACACAGATGCATTGGCATCTGCGGCCTCAATACGGCCGATTTTCATGTTCTGCAAGCCTGTCGATGTGGGGTGATGCTAGTTCCGGAGACCAGCCTTTATATCGTACGAGACTTGGCAATGAAGCTCTCGCATTACGCGTTCTGTCTTGGCAGGCTCGTTCATTGTGCCATTCTTTTGATCGTCGCTGGATCGTCTCACCGTGCTTATCAAGCAATGTATCTAGATGCGCATGTAGTGGTGCACGAGCGTGCTCTCTATGCCTCCTCTGGATGGTGCCATTTATCTCGTTAAGCAACTACACGTCTTCTGACTTGGAATAGCTGCCGCGCTTTTAGTGCATGTCAAACTCCAGTGCGTGCAGTTCATCTCCTAAATAGCATTGAGCACGGCCGTGTGAAATTGTTTAGATCTGGACCGCATATAGTTCTGGAAACGCTTGAATAAGCCATTCTCTTATGTAGTTAGGCTCTCGTCGTATCCTATTCTTGCTGTTGCCGGTAGTCATGATATTTAATGAGTAATAGCACTATATGATCTGTCTAGGAAACATTTATTAAAGCAAAATGTTTCCTATTCAGCGATGCGAAACAGCAAGAAAGCCGAGATATCTTTCATTTCCGGAAAAAAAATCACAGTACTCATCGAATTATACTGGGAGGGCAGCTTTAGCTTATGTAGCTCCTAAAAAAGGCTGAAAGAAGCTACCTAAGTAAGTCCGATTGTTTTGGTGGGTACTTAACCAGTTCTAAACATAATTGCAGTTCACACCAACCAATTGCAACATCCCCCCCCCCCAGGACTTTAATTCGCAACGAATGTCGCCTGAGTCCATAGTCCACCGATTTTGGCTAAATGAACACAATCATGTTTGTACATTTTGTGCCTGGTGGTCTTCACAAAGATGTCTGAAGAACCGATGTTTGGTACATCAAATTTTTATTTTGTTTTTTTAAACTTATAATTTAAAAAGTTTTACTTCGCATCTCCAGCGAAAAACTAATGCCGTGCGTTGCCCGGGAAGCTCTGGATATTTTTTGCGTTAAAATAAAAAAATGATAAAAAAGCAATATTAAAAATGTGCTTTCTAAAAACTTTTTT